AACATGGCAAACATGATCAAATCAGTACCCAACAGACCTCAAGCATGATGAAATATGACTAAAAGCTTCATGAATCAAGCTAGAACATGCAAGCATGGAGGGGCAAATGCATGGCACATGTTATGACAATAAAAGGGGTTACTAGACAAGTGTATGATGCATGTAATGGACCATCAATCCGAAAAAAAACAGAGGTATAATGTGACCAAATAACACCCAAAAACCTCTGAAATGGAGCTAAGTAAAGCTAAGCATGTATGCTACCCTTATGAGCCAAAAACATGAACAAATGAGACACAAAGGGAGGGGGTGTCCCTCCCCTATACAAGACTTCAAGACCCCTTTACCACCACTGAAAATCCACTAGATTTCAGTGGTGAGAAGGCCAATACACAAAAGGTTCCAAAGCTCAACAAAGAAGGCACAAAAGGGGCCAAACAAGGCCTAAGTGGGGGAGGTCGACCCCCAACACCAAAATGACCTTAATGAAACATCTTAAACATCAAAAAATAGGAATGAAATGTACACATGTAAGTAAAGCACATGTGACAACATGTACAATGTGTGAAAAATAAAGGATCTTGAATACATATAAGTAAAGCACAACGCGTTACTAGACAAGTGTATGATGCATGTAATGGACCATCAATCTGACCAAAAACAGAGGTATAATGTGACCAAATAACACCCAAAAACCTCTGAAATGGAGCTAAGTAAAGCTAAGCATGTATGCTACCCTTATGAGCCAAAAACATGAACAAATGAGACACAAAGGGAGAAGGGTGTCCCTCCCCTATACAAGACTTCAAGACCCCTTCACCACCACTAAAAATCCACTAGATTTCAGTGGTGAGAAGGCCAATACACAAAAGGTTCCAAAGCTCAACAAAGAAGGCACAAAAGGGGCCAAACAAGGCCTAAGTGGGGGAGGTCGACCCCCAACACCAAAATGACCTTAATGAAACATCTTAAACATCAAAAAATAGAACTTTTATCAGTTATACACAAAGCTCAAAACAGCACGCAAAGTGGGTTAAAAGCTAATGCAATAATGGGGAATATAAAGTAATTATGTTCACCCTTGAAGAACAGCCACCTCAGGCCCCTTTTTTGATCAAAACCAGCTTAAAAGCTCTAAGAACAACCTTCCAACACCTCAATAACTCAAGTATGGTGTAATACTAGGTGCCTTAGTGCAAAACTAAGAACAAAACACCCTTTTAGGCACTCTAACACACACAAATGAAGAGAGAGAAAGGTGTATATATCATATATCTCTGGTTTTTGCTCAACATCCTCAAAGGAGAGGGAAGGCTCTCTTATATAGAGCAAGATAAAGACCTAAGCTTCTTAAAGAAGCTAAACAAAAAGGGTCAAGGGGGTCAAGTTTCTCAAGGAAGCTAAGGCAAAGGGTGCAAGCTTCTTGAAGAAACTAAGACAAAGGGTCAAGCTTCCTCAAGAAGCTAAGGCAAAGGGTGCAAGCTTCTCCAAGAAGCTAGGGCAAAAAAGGTGCAAATGGTGCAAATCCTCCATACACATGTATGGAGGACAAGTCCGTGCACTCCAGCTGGCACAGCTGGCATGCATAATGCCTAAAAAAGGAAAAAAGGAAGTACCGACCAGAAAAAGAAAAAATCGGCCAAATAAATGGCTGATCGACCCGATATCCGTGCTGACCGACCAAATATTTGGTCGGTAGAAAGAAAGAAAGGTCGGTGGCTTCATACCACGACCGATGGGTTTAAGGGATGGCTAACAAACCACTTCCTACCCTCAGGTGCAAGAACCACAAATTCTTGGTCCACAACCAAGCACAAAACAGTCAAGTCGAGAGACCCTAAAGCAAGGCACGCAGCCGAGTTCTTCGGGATCTCAAAATAAATACGAACATGGATGATCACCGAGTGTTCAAATGATGACGTCCAAGTCTTAAGGACGGTCAAAAATGGGGTGTCTATAGGTGGTAGATAGACTGGCCTTGGTTGGTTGAAAATCTGGCTCTCATCTTCAAACTGAGAGAAAATTGCTTCCGACGAACTAGGGACCATCAGAGAGGACTCTGTTAAGATCTGATGCTTCATTGAACTTAATGAGATAAAAGTGATTCCCAAGGTCAATACCATGGAAGGTACTAGTGGGTTTCCACATACTTTTCAACTTAGACATGAAGAAATTATAACCCAGATTCCGACCCACTAATTTTACAATCAGTGTGCTTCGCTAGGGGTCTCTGATCCTATCAATCTCATCTTTAGAAAAGGAAATGATAGGGATTGTGGTCTCTGAATTAGAAACCTCTAATGTTGCTGTCCCAAGGTCCAGCGATGCTGCCCCAAGGTCTAGCGGTTCCAAGCCATTTGTCAAGGAGAAAAGGTGAGTAAGGGCGTCCTTAAAGGAGTGAGGCTTGGCTACGTTGTCGCCCACCGGATTTTTCAGCTTTCGGTGATGTCGCTCCAACAAGTCTGCCTCCTCCACTGAGCGTTCTGAGTCAGTGTCCTCGCCGCCGTGGTCTAGCTGTGAGCTTGCTACCGTGGAATGGATCTTCGTCCCTGCGATGTCATCCGATCGCCGCGCTGGAGCTCCGCCATGTTCCATCTTCCTCTCTCTCTCTACTCTTGAACACTTTTTTATTTATTTAATATTGATACGTGAATTTAGATATTATATGATGTTTCACTTATGTACTAGTATAAAATTTTAAAATTTAGTAATCACAATAACGTTATGTTTGTATCGAAAATGACCGCCATGTGTGTGTGCCACGTATCTCTTTGGTGAGTAAAGGTCGTGATTTTATTATCCCAAAATGGTTACAAGTTTTGAAATGGATGTGATGAAATCATGTTGTGATTTGCTAGTCAAATCCTTAGGGAGTTGGGATTCATATATGTGGGCCCCATTTCTCTTTCTTCTTATTGATATATATCTCTATATATTATATATACATATATATATGCTAGATAATGAATGAGGAAGACAAGTGGCAGCAATCTAGAAGGTCTTGTATCCACTTCCCAAATCATCAACAGTCCCATTTCAAAAATGTACAACGGCTCCTATAAAGGAGGCGTGCGTTAACCAAGCAATGATAACTAACAAATTGTTGAGAAGAAGAAGAATGAAGTTGAGACAGATGTCACTCTAGAAGGCTTTTAGCAAAATAACTTTCAAGATTTTATGGAGGTTTGTTAGGAGGTTGTTGCAGATTTTCAGGAGACAGATGTGATTTTCCGAAGGACTGAGCATTTATAAATACAAGAAATAAAGATAGAGCAAAACCCAATTAATCAGCCATTCAACACAACTTAGTACATATGCCAGTGTAATTTATCCTTAGTTTAGCCCTAGTTCAACTTATGAGTAGACTTGAAGACATATTTGCCATAGATTTTAGCATTAGATCATAACATCCATCTCAAATTAGTTGTTTTTGGCCTTCATTGGCATTGTTTTGAAACTTAAATTGTGTTTTCATTTGCAACTCAATTTCATATTTTCAAATTTGTTCTTATACTTTTGTAATGTTCAATCCATTTGAAGTCATAAAAGTAAGTTTTTTTTTTTTAATTCATTTCCTCCTATTTATCTCTATTTTTTTATTTTTACAAACTCTAAAGAGATTTTAAGTCCTCTTAATTGAGGCAAAACAAAAACCAAGAGGTCTTTTATCCCTTTAAGCCTTACATAGCATCCTGTTTTTAGAAGTCGGATTTTTTCAAGTATATTTTCATCAACTTAGGCACTATTACCTTAGCATACTCCCAAATCACCAAAAATGTTTTGTGTTGAAAATTCTAAACACCCTAAAGATAGTGATTTGTGATTATGATTCAATTTAAAACAATGAATATCAATCTCAATCAAGCAATCAACAACAAATTGGCACAACAACTTGACATGAAAAAATCACAATTGGGGCATCTCTGATTTTAATAAAAAATCACAAGCCAAAGCCATAAATTAATCCACTAAGAAGAAAAAAAGAATTACATACAAGAACCCTCAATTACCTAACGAATTCACGCCTAAATTGAACCAAACCCGATGTGCCTCTTCAGTCACCGTCTTTACCTCAGAATTGCTTTGTCCAACGTTGGATCCACAACGCCAATATCGAATCTACGCTAATGAGTCACTCCAGAATACACCAAAGCTTCAAGCCCAAGTTCTCCGGAATCCACCAATGAATACCTTTATCTTTTTGTGAATAAAAGAATAAAACCCTTGATGATAGTCAATATGAAACTCGTTAATCAATCGATCACTCACAAATCATCAAGGAAACTCATATATAAACACCCTTCAATATTAAACACATTTTATTTTACTCCTCTCTAAGAATTTGGACGAATTTTACCTTAAAAATAGCAAAGAGAGAAATAAAACCGCGAAGACTGCTCGAGCACACATGTTATCGCTCGAGCGGTGTGCTCACGTATAAACCAACCGTTCGAGCGCAACATCCACTGCTCGAGCGATGAAATATTTCCAAGAAGTTTAGAATGCAAATAGAAAAACTAAATGAACTATTTCACCACTCGATTTCTGTACTTAGTCAGCGAAGTGACAAATAGAGAGAGCTAAAAAAGATACGAAATGTTAGCACAAGCTGCTTTACTTTAGACACAACTCGGGTTGGATTTGCATCTACATTCTCATAACTCACAGTTAAAATATAATGAATAAAAATACAACTGAATGAAATTTTGTCTAACGGAATTGTCAATTACAAAAACCTAGCCAAAACTTGTGTTTTAGTCAAAAAAAATATTATTTTTTATTTTTTGCACACACATTATTATTTTACTATTTTATTTATTTGTTGAATTACATTTTTACTATTATTTTATTTGTTGAGTTTGTGGCATTTACCCTGGGCCTAATAACTCTTGGGCTTTTTCTACGACTTGTTTCACTTTGGGCTTTTTACCGCCTTCGTTGTCTAATGCAATACGACGACGTTAAATGAACAGCTATAAATACACGCAAAAGCCCCAAAAATCATTCCTTCAAAGCTCGTTAAAAAAAAAAAAAAAAATCCTACAAAGATCGAAAGTACATAGACTGCTTCAGAATTCGAAGATCATCAAAATCGAAGATTGAAATCGAAATCAGATAAATAATAAGACGATAAAATGGTACGCAAATTCAATCTCTGGTGTCTTTTATATTTATATATATATATATATATATATTTATGTATGTATTGTGTGTGTTTCAATTAGGGTTTCATCGTTATCAGACTGTAGATTTGTTCGATTGGGTTGTGTTACTAATTCAATTCAATCAATCAGGTCGATAGAAACTGATTAGAATTTTGAATTGAATACGTTCATCATGGGCCTTGTTGATTTAATTGATCTCTTGTATCTTCTAGGGTTAAAAACTTTAAGGTGTTGAAATCTTCTGTTCTGAATGAGGTGAAAGAATAAAAGTATTGCATACACACAAATATTTACTTTTGAGTTGCCTTTGTTTTTGAATTGAAGAAGTTCTAGTATCATTCTTCCCCAAGACCTCGCAATACCTATCCTCTGTTTGGGGAGATGGGTCGGCTTGGGTTTAGGGCTATTTTAGCCACAAAAAAGACAAAATAGACTTTTTAGTCCAATAAGACCAAGCATCACATCCAATCCATAATCATTACAGTGGCTTATTTTGGAAAGATGGTAAAAAGTGACTTTTTGACTTTTAATCAAACTTTTGTCTTTTTTTAGACAAATGATTTGAAAAGTTGGTAAAAAAGTTGCTTTTCACTTTTTTGATTAATATTTATTTATGATGTCAAATCACAGTAAAATGACCAAACTATCCCCATTTATTTAGTATATTTACAACTTTATGCATGCAACACATTTTAACCTATGAGGGGTAAAATTGTAATTTCACCATTGACTAAAAACCAACTTTCCAAATGAAAAAAATGACAAAAAAAATCAACTTTTAGCTTTTGCCACAAACCTAAAAAAGTGACTAAAAGCTATGTTGCCAAAACACCCCATTATTTCTCTCACAAAAAGTTAAAAAAACCAAAAAAAAAAAATTATTCTCAAGCGAGGCTTTTTAGCCTCAGGCTAAAAAAGTCAAAAAGCCAACCCACTTCCCAAACGAACCCATAATGAGTTATTGGAAGTTGAGTAACATTTAACAGTAATTATGTTATAAAATTGATACAAATGGAATTTTTATGCATTGCAATCATATTTTTTAATTGCCAATTATGCCACTATGTCAATCTTGTGTGTCTAAGTTCAAAATTGAACAATTATAGTTTTATAATCAGAAAACGGCCTCTGTTAGCATCTAGATTACAGATTCAAAATTCCACCCCATAAAATAAAAACTCAAAATCAACTTTATCCCCCGTCATTTAGATATAGCCAAAGACCCTCCACATAATTTTGGCAGTTTTACTTTATGTCCCTACTTCCTTCCAAATCGATAGAATGTGGGATTAAGCCCATATGTTGAGAGTGCACTTGAAAAAAAGAATTTAAATCAAAATAAATTTTTCGGTAAATGGACATTTGTAGCCTTAACTTCATTTTCTTTCGCCTAACTACTACAACACTAACCCAACTACATGGTCTTCCTCCTAACTATTGACTAAGTAGCACAGACATAGACGCAAGACACAATATAGACACGCCAACACGACGATTTTCAATAAATGCAGGATACAATATGCTTGGGACACGTTAAAAATATATATTTTTATAAATCTATTATAACATGTGAATAGTTTATTTAAACATAATGAAAAGAAGGCAACATAATAGTAATTAAAATTAAAAAGTCATATATTTCATAATTTAAATATCAAGATATCATTCATGTAACAATGTGCACAAGTTGTATTCTGAAGAACGCGGAACATTATGAAGAGATTCATCACATGGGTCATGTTTGGAGGGTTAAAGAAGTGTTCCCAAAGTGTTTGTAAAGTGTCCAATATTATAAATTTAAAGTTTTAATTAAGACATTTTGAATAAGTTTCGAACATGCTTATAGGAGTGTCCGCAGAATGTCAATGTCCGACACGGTTGTTCAACACGACACACTTCTTCCATAGAATTTTTGTTCTTCTTAGACTACTAAAAACCCCAATCTTACACCACCAACCACCTACCTTGCTACCACCAGCTCCTCCCCCTACCAGCCTCGTATTTAGTGGAGTTTGCAATTTTGACACCACTATTTCATGTTTTTTATGCTAAAATTACCATCACTAATCCCATACCCGGAACAACAGAAACAGTGATTATAATATCTAGCACACCTAATCAAGCCCATGTTGCACAGAATATTACTAAAAAATTTGTAATTAATGAGACATAAGTTCCTTGACCTGTGGTGTTGAACTTAGGCTCCGTAGCGTCTTGTTTTATGTGGCCATAACAATCAAAAGTATTACTTTCATCAATGATGGTGATATTTGGCATGCACTTTGCCGGTAGTTTCCTTGATTATTTAAATAATTATGTAGTTATTACAAGCAATAATGTAATATATGAAACCTAATATGTGTTGTTTAAAACTGGCTACCTTAGCTGAAGAGCATAGTGGCTGGCGAATGTTGAACTTCTTAATTTGTGTTGTTCAAATTCTTGCCATTACTTATGTGCATACTTGTATACATGTATATATACATGCACAATGCATATATGTTTGTGTATTTATATATTATAATGTAATGTTAGATTAAATTAGAAATTAAGTTAAAAAATGAGAAATTAGGGGATTATCTATGGTTTGTTGTAACTTCCTTATAGTATAAGGACAAAAATAGAGTGTATTTGGACAAAAGTGGAGCGGGAATAGCTCCACCCTTACTCTATTAGAGGATTATGAATAATGATTTTCATTTTGCTTGAGCGAAGCTTTCATTAGATCTAAAGGTTGATGTCTCATGGTAATACAGTTTATCTCCAGATATCAATTATTATCTTAGCCAGCTTTCCATTTAAAAAAGAAAGAAAGAAAGAAAATACCTTTTTTGATCTGTTTTTATCTTTTATTTTTTAAAGTTTATTAAACTTTTTTGTTTGGCTTTTTGCAGTCTTCACTTGCAGCTGCCAGAGCAGACAATTTTTACTACCCCCCAGAATGGACCCCAAACCAGGTATGCTTGTGTAGTAGTTATGTACATATATATTTCTAAGTTTAGCTTTTAAGAGGCATGAATTCTCTATATTTCTTACATCATTTTTCTTTTCAGGGTTCTTTGAACAAGTTCCATGGTCAACATGCTTTGAGGGAGAGAGCAAGAAAAATAGACCAGGGCATTTTGATTATAAGGTACTGAACAACACATTTGATCAAGTATGCAACTGTTTCATTGTATCTCAGAAAGACTGCTTGTCTTGTCAGAAGTATCTATATGTTTCTCGTGATTTATTTAGATGTAGCTTTGTGACAATCTGAAGTGCTTGCCTCTTCTTGGATGAGGGCCTTAGCACTCTCACAGCTGTATTAGAGGATCCTAATTATTTAACAGGTTGCATTTCTGGTTGAGGCACTTGACATGTTGATGTTACATGTAACATACAATGTCAAAAATGCATTTTACTCATTTATATCAATTATGCTGCAATAAATACATATAATTAGTCTTAAAAACAACTGTATAAGAACTGCCCTGATGGAAGTATTAGATATGTAATACAACTATATAAGAAGTGCCCCGATGGAAGTATTGGACACATATCACACATCCTTGTCCAAGTGTCGGGTGCCCGACATCGGTATTTGATTTATTTTGAAGAGTCTATGTAACATAGATTTGTAGCCTTTCTACTTCAAGACTGGGAATCAACATATTGGTGAGATTGTAGTTTTTACAAATTTAAATTTGTTTCATTTGAGCATTAGTCTGTTCATTTAATATTTTCTGTTTCATCTTTGGTGATAATAATTCTGAAGATGTAAAAGAAAAAAGTTAATATTTTCCGCTAGCAGTGATTGGAAGATAATTAAAAATTATTGTTCATTGTAAATCATCCTTGTGAGATTCTAGCATTAAATATACCCATCCCTATTATTCGAGTTAGATTTATAATACTAATACTGTTTCTTACATGTTTTGTTATACGCATGTCCTTTACAATAGCATCGGGGGCATCCTACTGGTGTCAATGATGTTGTGAACTATTTGAAACCTTGATTCAAGAGTACTTGCATATTTTTTGAAGATCTAGTGTGTGAAACACAATTGAGAAATACTACTTTTATGTCCAGAGCTAATTAACTATTTGGGTCATACTATGTGAGAGATTAATTTAGAAAAATCCATTTTTGTCTATTTTGTTGGTTCATAATATACGTATATATAACTCTCTAACAAAGTGTTAGGTTTGAGATAATAATTATATCTTTCAAAATGGTTATGTTTCCCATATACATTCACTTGCTCTACAACTTAGCACTTATATACAATCAATAGTTCAGTTTATCTGTGGAATTCCCTGTGAGAAACATTTACCATTGTGTGAGCTTCATTTGAAATGGCTAGTTGCTAATTATCATTTGCTCCCTTTTTAGGTTTGAAATGCCTTACAATATTTGGTGTGGTGGATGCAATTCTATGATTGCGAAAGGTGTGAGGTTCAATGCAGAGAAGAAGCAAGTGGGGAATTATTATTCTACGAAGGTAAGCTATTCTTGATAACAATTGGGTAACTGTCTCTTCTATGTGGCACTGTTGGAGCTAAAAGTATTTCAAGGTCTATTCTTTTACTTTTTTTTTTGTGTGATAATGTCAAGGTATATTCTTTTGCAATATTGTTAAGGGGGCACATATGGGGTATGAACAAACCTGCTGATGGATATGTGGGCACGCACACAAATTCTAGGGGGGAGGGGGAAGATCATAGGCCATGTAGAAAGAGCTTTCAATGCCAGTTAATTCTGAATAAATTATTGGGGTTACTATGTTACATGGACTCAATTACGGGTGTCGAGTGCAAGTGTGTATGTAGAAATCAAACCTATTGAATCTTAAATTTAAGTGTAGACAGATTCATTTATAAAAGGGTCATATTTTTATAATTTCAATACATTATTTGAGATAAAATAGTGTTATATGTGACATATAGTGTCAAAAAGGCATTTTACTCATTTTATAGCAATAATACAACGATATATACATAATTGTATTGTTAAATACAAATATATAAGAAGTGCTTGATGGAAAGTATCAGACACATCTCACACCCTTGTCTATGTGTCGGGTGTCTGACATAGGTATTTGACTTATTTTGAACACATCAGCATGATAAAAAACATGATATTGGACATTAAAGAATCTCTCTCTCTCTCTCTCTCTCTCTCTCTCTCTGTGTGTGTGTTTCACAAGTGGTTTTGACTAGTGACTCTAGTATTTTTCTCAGATTAATTGGCTAGCAGGTTGTGCCACAATAGAATATTTTAGCTTCGGATGCTGTTTCTATTGATGTCGCACACTATTTGTCATGTTATCAGTATGAAGCTCTGCTAACTCCCGAGTCATTTCCTGTTCTTGATGAAGTTGTGTTCTTCATTAACTGCTAATATCTACTCTATTTTTTTTCCTCTTTCAGATATGGAGTTTTTCCATGAAGTCTGCATGCTGCAAGCATGAGATTGTTATTCAGACAGATCCCAAAAATTGTGAGTATGTGATCATTAGTGGGGCGCAAAAAAAGACTGAGGATTATGATGTTGAGGATGCAGAAACCTTAAACCTTTGCACTTGCTGCTGATGAAGGTACTTTTGATTGTTAATATTAAAGAATATATATGGATGTTAGGTGGTCTTGTGGATACGGAGTGTGTTCATTATCTTGACCGATATTTTTTAACAAATTTATTAGGTTTAATTTTAGTGTTATTTGTTTTTTTCTTTCCCCTGATTATTATGTCTCCTATTTAGATGTTATGTAAATGTTCTAACATTTTTTAATTTTCCAGAAAGAGGTAAGCTGGCAGACCCCTTTTACCGCCTTGAACACCAGGAAGAGGATCTGCAAAAGAAGAAAGAAGCTGAGCCGGTATTAGTGCGTCTTCAGCGAGTATCTGACTCCAGACATTCTGATGATTATGCCCTCAACAAGGCTCTCCGTGCCCAACTTAGGGTACTATTATCGAGGTTATTTTAATTTATCATTATCATCCCTCCCTAATGTCTGATGTTCTCTTCAATTTCCCATTTCCTCAGAATCAAAAGAAAAGAGTTGCCGATGAAGAGCTTACTTCCAGGAAAAAAGGCCTTGGCATAAGACTACTTCCCTTGTCCGAAGAAGACACTGCAACTGCTGCACGGGTGAAGTTCTCTTCCAAGTTCGATAGAAATAGGAAAGAGAAGCGAGCATTGATTAATGCCACGTCTATTTTTCCTGGGTCATCGGGCTCTTCCACATCTAATGCAAGAAGGCTGGAGCTAGAGTCCAAGAGAAGAAAAATTAAGACGTCGTCAGCATCCAAACTGCTGGTAGGGGGTTTTAAGCCATCATCGTGGTCGGCGTGTCCTGTTTCCTCTGGCAGACACAAGAGGACTTAATATGGCCATTAGACAATGTCAGTGATGAGTTTCCTACAAATCATATAATGTTATATTTCAGGGTAGGGTTTATGACAATTGGGTGACTTTTGACGGTATATATAAATGTGGATTGTGCTTGTGTTTGACCTATTGAAATTGGTGCCAAAGACCGTATGTGTATATCAAAAATGCTACAGATCACGAAACAAAAAATGTTTTACGAAAACAGTGCCGAAGCTGTGGCCGACTGACTGGAAAAGCTTAGGATCTGGCTGACTGGCATCGGCTTCAAGACTATTTAGTGAAATTTTGTTTGTGGCCTGTAGCATTGCTGTGTGTACATTTGTATGGCCCTTGTGAGGATTTGGAATGCAACTGCTTGTACACATATTTCTTTTATTGTGTTTGCTTGATGTTGTTTTTGCTTTGTTTTTTTTTGGGTTTCTCCATTTCTTTCTCTTTCCTTATATGTTACATCTTTCATTTTCAAGTATATGATTTAGTTTCAATTCATTATTAAGAGAAAGGGGAAGACAAAGTTGAACAGTTAAAAATGTACTACGGTTTATGAAGGCAGATTGGGGTTGCTAAAACCATATCAAACTACCATGTTTAGTCCAAAGATTAAGACTTTGAATCATGGATTTAGGTAGAGACTTGAGTAAAAATTCATTTAGATCTCTCTCTCTCTCTCTCATTCAAATTCATATTCAAAATATCTTAAATCTTCAGATTTTTCCATTCAGATTAGTAGGGTGCTCAATTTTTTGAATTTATTTGGAGTAGCAGTTTGTGCAAATAGACCGACTATCAAAAGGTTTATGGGATTATTAAAGCTGAATCAACATTGTCATATCTGTGAAATTTTTGTTACCTCATTTGTTAAGAGTAACACACGAATAATAATCATATAATATTTTGCCTCCGTTTGGCAAGAAAAAGCCCAGGCTTTTTTTGGCTAAAATAGCCACAAAAAACAAAATAGGCTATTTTAGCCACAAAAAATAAAACATCAAATCCAACCCATAATCATTACAATCCTCTCTCACAAAAAAAGTCAAAAAAGCTAAAAAGTCAAAAAGTCATTCCCAAACCACGCTAAAATAGCCCAGGCTAAAAAAGCCAAAAAGCCAACCTACTTCCCAAACGGAGGCTCAAAATACAACTCCACACTCAAATCATAAATATAAACACAAACCAAACGCTACCTTAATTCCTCTTTATATAATAACCAACATATTTTTTCAAATAAATCTAAAATCATGAATTATTTCGATACTAAATAAATTTTAAATCCCAAATTTGTCACAATAATTTATACTTTTGTCAAGTCATGTTTCCATATCATTCATTTAGACAGCTATATCATTAAAATTTTAGCAATGAGGTAGGGAAAATTTTGGTCCCTTACCAACACATACAATTGACAAGAGCTAAGCAACAATTATGGTGTCAAAAAAATATATATATATTTAAGGTGACATAATTAATTTGTTTTTCCTCAAAAAGGCCCATGCAATTTAACTTACATCAAGGATGAACATGTGATGATAGTTTCATTAGCTACCTCTCTCCCACAATTTTTTAATTCCTAAGTTGGTTAAACCAATATTTTAAATATTTTTAAAGTAATGATAGTATATAAACTGAAAAAGTATACAAATAATATGGCTATATTAAGACTTATCATTTTAAATTAAAGTATATTTCTCTGCCACATAATAAAAATTTTGTATAACAAGTATGCAAAAATAATATTTTACTTTTTAAAAATAATATTATATAGTATTTCTTGACAAAATTTTCTGGGTTGTTTACCCTCTCTACTATGTAGATTTTTTTGCTTGACAAAAAATAAAAGCCACAAATGCATTAAACAAACACGGAAAAAATTTATATAAATAAAAACAACTTAAAATAATTATATTTTTATAAAAGTGCAAGTGATTTTGTATCGACTTCAAGTGAATTGTGAAGTGGAAAACAACTCACTTGTTTTAACTTGCACCACCTTAAAAATGTAACTAATTAGAGTTATTCCCACTTAAATGTCATTTTTCAAGAAAAAAAAAAATGTATATATATATTCTTTCTTTTTTGCCTTTTCCTATGATAATGAGACAAAGCCTTTTTTTTTTTTTTTTTTTTTTTTTGG